ACAGTACGTGTAGTCGATAAATATGGTGGTAACGACACACCCGGCAATATGGCAGTAAACGCATGCCTGCCCACACACGCTCACTTTTACTTCCGATCTGTAGATTGGCTGTCAGTCACTGCTCCCATACCGACTGCAACAAGGTCTGGGATGTCATCTCAGAGACAATTCTAGTGGGGATGCACCAATTTATCTGGTGCAAGCAATACACTACAACACCCTCTGACCCTCCATGGTGGAACCCAGAGTGTCTGGATGCAGTAGTTCTCAAGGAACAGGCCTGGCGGCGCTGGAGGAGATTTCCATCTTCTGAGCCTCTGAAGTGCTCCTCTGATATCCCAACCCTGATTGATGCACATGGGCAAGAATGCGCAACCAACCTGGCAAAGGCAAACTGCTTTGGCTCTTTCTTTTCCAAGAAATGCAGTCTTGCGTCCGACATATCAGTGGACAGCCTGCCGGCTGCCTCTGACAACAGTGAAACTCCAGCAGTCACAAGGATCCATTTCCGGGCTGACACAGTACGACGACATCTGGCAATACTGGATTCCTCCAAAGCCACAGGACCGGACAATATCCCAGCTAGGGTACTCAAGGAATGCGCAACTGAGCTTGCGGGGTCCCTAGCACGCCTCTTCTTTCTGTCTTTCAGTACTGGCCACCAACCACAGGCATTGAAGGTTGCCCGAGTAATTCCAGTGAGTGTACAAAAGGTCCTTCAAAGGTCCTTCTGTCGACACCGCCGGGGCTTTTGACAAAGTCTCCCACACAGGTGTACTGCACAATTTGCGGAACATCGGTGTGAAGGGCGCCCTCCTGGACTGGCTTAGAGACTACTTAACAGGTCTTTCACTGGAAGTGGTCATTGGCGACAAGAGCTCTGATCGCTATCCGATCTCTGCAGGAGTGCCACAAGGCAGCATCCTTGGACCGTCCCTGTTCCTAGTATATGTAAATGATGCTGATAGCTGCCTGGGTCCAGGGTCTGAAATGGGAACATTTGCAGACGACACCACGCTGTATGCCTGCTTCAATACACGCGACGATGCCATACACCAAGCTGACACTCCAAGCTTCCGTCAATGCTTTACATGCATGGGGAACAAAGTGGCATGTTAATTTTGAACCATCCAAGTCGCAGCTCCTACGCATCTCCTGCCATCGACAGCAGCCTTGGCCTATCCCCGCAATAAACTTTGGAGGGGAGGTCATCCATTTACTTGCACGCTGTCGAGGCATTAACACATCCATTTCCGGCGAATTCAGCGCGAAATTTGTAAATTCGACGCAATTATCGGCGATTTCTTGACAGCCATTGATTTCGGCGTTTTTTCCTGCTGACCGTTTTCGGAAATGCCTAAAGTCGCAGTCACCTTTCACAGGTAATGGTTACAGAAATTGTATTTGCATTCTGTTGAGGCACCTAAACATCGATTTTCGGCGAATTAAGTGCGAAAATTGCGTATTCGGCGAAAAGATGAGCTATCGCTCTCTCTCTCTCCTCTCTCTCTCTCTCTCTTCTCTCTCTCTCTCCTCTCTCTCTCTCTCTCTCTCTCCTCCACTCTCAGCTCCCCTCTCTCTCTCTCCTCTCTCTCCT